TATACTGTTTTTCGACGCGTAATCAATGAAGTTTTGTCATTAGGCTCAATTAGGTTAGCCTGGTTATTTGGGAAGGTGGTAATGCATTGGTTAGCCTAGTTATTTGGAGGGTGTTAATGCAATGGTTAGCCTGGTTATTTGGAGGGTAGTAATGCATTGGTTAGCCTGGTTATTTGGAGGATGTTAATGCATTAGTTAGCCTGGTTATTTGGGGAGTGTTAATGCATTGGTTAGCCTGGTTATTTGGAGGTGGTAATTCATTGGTTAGCATGGTTATTTGGAGGTGTTAATGCATTGGTTAGCCTGGTTATTTGGAGTGTGTTAATGCATTGGTTAGGTTAAGTTAGATAGGCTACAGTTATTTGGAGGGTGGTAATGCATTGGTTAGCCTGATTATTTGGAGGTGTTAATGCATTGGTTAGCCTAATTGTTGATTTGAAGTGTTAATGCATTGGTTAGCCTGGTTATTTGGGGTGTTAATGCATTGGTTAGGTTAGGTTAGATATTCTGGTTATTTGGAGGGTGGTAATGCATTAGTTAGTCTGGTTATTTGGAGGGTGTTAATGCATTGGTTAACCTGAATTAGTTGGGGGTGTTAATGCATTGGTTGGGTTAGGTTGGTGGGGATTGTTTGGAGTACGCAGATCACATCGATTTCGGAATCTTACTGAACAAATCCGGGAAAAATATTTTTAAACAATTGTGCTAAATACTGTGTAATGATTTTATTGTCAATTTATTTTTATAGTGTTTTGTTTTGCCTCGTTTATTATATTTTTAATTTTTCCGTTTTTTTTTTTTTTTTTTTTAATGTAAAAAAAATGAATATAAAGTAGAACGTTTTCGTCGATTTTACACAGAGTGAGTAATAACACTGTGCGTAACCTTGTATTTTACTGTCTTTATGAAGGTTATAATAGGGAGTTTTCGCATTGAAATGTAGTGAAAATTTTGAATTTTCAATTATTTTTTTTCGTAGAAAAAGTGGTTCATCCAACAATTTTTTTCTTTTAAACCATTCCATTAACTATGGGATCCACATTAAAAATTAAAAAAACCACGATTTCGTGGGGACCTGTTCTGCACAAGACCCTTGAAATGTTTTTGTGCCAAAAGTTCAACAGAGACTGTTTTATCAGCATTGCACAGCACGACAGCACTGCAACGGTATCTTTTTCGATTTCATGAAACAGACAGTACTCCAACATTTTCTAAAATTCTTCATTATCTCTATCAGGTTCCAATGTCAGTATTGTGCTGAAATATTTAGGTATCTTCTGAAACCCTTGGGTGTTTATCACTCGGTTCCAAAATAAACGGATATACTACGTGGATAACTGTCTGAACTGTCTCCTTTTCTTCTGTTTCTTTAAGACTCTTCCTGGACATTATCTATTATTCTCGATAAGCATTTTATAGATGATTTTTTATTACTGTTTAATTTAGACCATTTTAATTACATTGTCAGCATCTTTCAATGTCATCAACTGTCAAGTATGAACACAAAATTTTCTCGTAAAATCACCACTCATGTCTCAAGCAAAAGATGAGTTGGGTGAGCAAGACTCAAAATCAGATTCATCTAGAGATTTATTTAGGGAAGAAGCTATATTAGTGGCTTTAGGAGAAACAGAAAATATTTTTGGGTTGTTTCTAAATTCGATAAATGACTTACCAGAAAAGGTGGATACTATTAAAGAAGAAGAAAACGTAAATTCAGGAAGTGATGATAATTTAGACGAATGCAAGTCTAATTCTGAAATTGCGAATGAAAATAAAGAAGATGAATTGGATTTCAAAATAGAAAATTGGTTAAATAATACAAGTGAAATTCAAATAATCAACAACAATGTAATATACGTAGATGAAATTGGTGTTGCAAGAGTAGAAAATGAGAAAATTAAGCAAGATTTAAACGAAAGTCCAACAACAAAAGAACCAACATTATTAGAAACAGTTTCTTCATTAGAAAGGCAAGTTTTATCGAGAGTAGAAATGTTACCTGATAACAGAAAGTCAAAAATACTACAACTGCCACCTGACTCCATTCCCATTACTTCAAGTCGTTGTGAAAAAGAACTGGTCGGTGATGACGTGGCAAATACAAAAGCTCACATAGTTTGTGAATGTGATCAACCCGGAGTTTCTGGAGGGGCGGTTCCTACGGTTATATCGTTTACTTTGAATGATGATCCTAAAAGTAAGTTTGTATATTTGTTATATTAATTGTTAGTTATAGAGGGTGGAAATGAATAAATGTAAAAATATTCAGGAAGTTTAGTTTTGTTAAAAAAAAAATAATTGTTTTTCTCTGTAAAACTTTTTCCCTTTGAGTGAGAAAAAATTGATATTGAACATTGGTCGCCTTTAAAAGCAAGTTATTCCTTTATTTTAAATTAATTCATATAGCTTCAAAATTCAAAATACTATAAATGTTGCCTACTTCTCAGACAAAGATTTTTCTAGATATTTTCATTTTTATGATTTTGCGTCAGTAGATGTTTATTATTTGATAAAATATATGTGGCTGTTAATTTAACAAAAAAATAAAATGTGTAGAGTAAAATATTCAACGGTAATGAAAAGATACAGATTTAAAACATGTCTAAGGGCACAAACATAGTGAGGCATCTCGATGCGATGCTCGCCAAGATGCTGGCCGTGCTGCTCGCCAGGATGCTAGCCGCGATGCATCCTACGCGCACTGTTTTAAAACGGCGAGTAAGTGCGCGTAGGATGCATCGTGACTATCGTACATAGTGCGGGGCATTTCACCTCGACGCGATGCGCGCCATTCACCTCGCCATCGGCGATGCTGAATCAAACATGTACAAATTTATGCGTCAAAACATACTGGAGCCTCGCACCTCGCCACGCACCTAGATGTTCAGCGCGATGCTTCCTAGGAAACAAAATTTTTGGTTTTTGCAAGAAGCGGACGCGGGTGCCTGAAACTTTACATTTAATTGGTCGGTTTAGGATCACAATTCGTTGAGCATATGTCGAACTAGAGTCGGGTGGAATAAAATATTCACAATACTAGTATTTAATTTATCACCAACAATGTAATCAACTTGATTCTACAGGGTCCGGCAATAGTGCGTCGGGCATCTGCAGCTCCTATAATAAAAAAATGAATTTTGTAGTCCAGACATAAAGTATGTATTAGGATGTATTTGAGGAAAATAGGATGCACACACTTCGAAAATCAGCCACAACTATTTCTCTCATGTTGTCGACTATACAGGGTGTCCGGAAATTAATGCAACAAAATTTGGTCATAGATTCTTGAAAAAAAAAATAGGTGACCCGTATTTTTTTATTTTTGGCCAGTGATCCCTTTTTCGGATTTACAGCCCCCTGAATTTCGCCCCTAAAAAGATTTTTTTTAATATCTCAGGGCCCTGTTGGACGAAAATCACTAAATTTGGTACACGTTGTTTTACCATAAAATTACATTTTTTGATATGATATTATTTTTTTTTAATTTTCATCAGTGGCGTCCCTACGGTATTTAAACTAAATAATATTGAAGAAAAAAATGGTACGCCACTGTTTTTTTTAAATAAAAATTATTTTTAAAGTCTACATTAAATTTGGAACATATTTGATCTCTTGATTTTTTTTTGGTACGACGACGAGCCGTTTTCGCGTAAAAAAATAAAATCCATTTTCATACATGACCAAATCGCTAAAATTTTAATGTAAATTTTCATGCAAAATTTAAAAAACGGCAATTTAGGTTTTTGGGCATTTTGGTTCGCACTTAGGTAATAAAACAGGATTTTTGAAAATAAAAAATTATTTTAAACTTGAGTTTGCCGTTTTAAAAATTTTGCCATTGAAATTTACGGTAAAATTTTAGCTATTTGGCCATGTATGAAAATGGTTTTTATTTTTTTACGCGAAAACGGTGCGTCGTACGAAAAAAAGTCAAGAGATAAACTTATCCAAAATTTAATGCAGATTTGAAAAATAATTTTTATTAAAAAAAAAACAGTGGCGTACCATTTTTTTCTTCAATAATATTTAGTTTATATACCGTAGGGACGCCACTGATGAAAATAAAAAAAAGTTAATAGCATTAAAAAATGTCATTTTATGGTAAAACAACGTGTACCAAATTTAGTAATTTTCGTCCAACTGAGATATTAAAAAAAACTCTTTTTAGGAGCGAAATTCAGAAGGGTGTAAATCCGAAAAGGGGGACCACTCGCCTAAAATAAAAAATACATTAATTAATCTAGTTTCTTCAGTTAAATACATAAATGATCATACTAGAATCACATTAATTTCTAGATAAGAAGTCTGATAATGCAATTAATAAAGAACAAAAAGAAGGGGTCCAAAAAGTGGAACAAAGAGTTTCTAGACCAAAAGCCAGCTTAATTCCTAAACTCACAAACTCCTATCGAACGAACAGATTAAATGCTAAACCTCCAAAACAACCTAATTACGAAGAGAAATTCGCGGAACACGACAAAAATATCACGTCAAAAATGCTGGCTTTCCAACAAAAAATCCGAGAAACGTCGTCCCTTTTAAAAGCCAAAGTCAGCCAAAGCAACGCTGTCGAGAATAAAAATCCCCGATCAAAACGATCACCAGAAACTTGAAGAAACTCCCGAATCATCAAAAAGCAACAAAATGATCCTGAACGAACTGTACAAAACATCAACTTACTAAACAAAGAAACTGTTAACTTGATCAACATAGAGAACGAAAACAACAAAACTTTTATGATAGATAATATAGAGAACCTGATTTCGAGTTTGAAAGGCCTGATTGGTCAGTTCAAAGAGGGCGAATCGAACTCCGAAGATAGAGTGAACGAGTTACAGGAAAATTTAACGGCGAATAGGGACGCCGAGTCGAAGTCGAAAGCTAAAGAGAATAATAAGATACATATTAAGTTTTTGTCTAGTAAATCGGGAGCGAAAAAGCGGAAGACCAAAGAACTGCAAGCAGAAGTTGTAAAGGAACCTGGCGAACCTAAGTTGGTAAGTTAACAATAATAGTAACTTTAATAATGATCACGACAGAGCGTTAAGCTTCATTCAGAACCTCACAATTAGTGGAATAAATTAGTGGTTTCAATTACACTTTATACTTTTTAGTTTACGATCATTCACAATGTCTAAAAAACTACATATACATTTAAAATTAATAGAAAATCCTAGCAACAGCTGGCGTTAGTCAGTTGTATCCATAAAATAATTAACTAGAAAGAAGTGTCAACTCTGTGTTAAATCGTGGAAACACGATACGCCACCTTGTCTTGTCTCTACCGCCTTCGTTGTCGTCTGGAGAACTAATTTTCCAATTGACAGGTTGACATGATAAGGACACGATAGCTTAATTTTCATTTCTGTTTCCGGTTATTCAATGGCGGGCCCTCTTTCAGTTCAAATGTATTTTGTATATTTTCTTTTCATAAATAAAACCAAAAAATAATGTATTCACATATATTTACTTGAAATATGGAACAACGTGACTAAATAAATATAAAAATATAGAGGATTGTATTGTTTCAATACCAATTAATTAATTATATGTACTTTTAACGTAAATTCGTTAGGTATAAGCATGACTTACAGTAATTTGTAAATAAACAAACGTATTCGCAGACTTCAAGGACAGAAAACGGACACAGGAACATGAGAACGGGAGCCTTACACAAACAAAACCTGAAACACAAAAAACAGATTTTTTAAACTAAAACCTGTGCTAAAACTAACAATGTAAAAAATATGAATATAAAATATAAATATACTAGGTCTACACTAAGATGCATTTTACCAGGAAATTTAACAAAACTTGAAAATAAAATAAATATGAAATAAACCTAATTTCCCTTTTACATTTTAAAATAAAGATAAATAGGTATAAAGAACAAATTTATCAACTAATATGTATCTTATAGATTTATTGTATTATATATAAAACCACACATACTGCAGATAATTAATGTGGGTTATAGTTAAAAATGATCTTACCTTGCAGTAAATTGTTTCCATTTTCAAAAAAATCGCCGATTAAAGAGATTATAACAGCATTTTCTTGCATCTCAAAAAGTAAGTGTTTATTTACTACCTATTTTTCATATATATGGGACATACCTACTACTGCAGAAACGTCATTTTCTCCAGGATTCTTCATGTAATATATATTTTATATACTTTATTACCTTTGTATTTATAAATTTCAGCCGAAATATTAAATTGAACTTCCAAAACGAAACTATATAAACGGAGTGAATTAAAATGGCGTCGAATATATTTGTTCGATTTGTTCTAGAACAAATCTGAAGTTGTCTCTGAAACTCTGAAATCTGTCAATTCTAAACTTTGAAGTTAGACAATAGTTAGACAGAAACAATGCTGTCCTTGTCTAGCTTATAAAATAATCAACCTTTGATTTCTAACCACAATTTCTCTTGACGGAAGGTAATCAAAGGCCAAAATAACATTTCTCGCAAATTTTGAAGTATAATTAGTGGAAAAGTTAAAAGTTTGATAACTTTTTCTATTAATTGAAAATGTCTACCGCTAAGTTTGATGTTCTGAATGCTTACATTGAAATTAAAGGAACAAAGCTTAAAGCTTCATTTAGAACCTCGCAATTAGTCTAATGAATTAGTGGTTTCAATTACCGTAGAAGTTTGTTCATTTAATTTCAATGTAAAGCTTCATTCAGAAGCTCGCAATTAGTAGAATAAATTTGGGGATTCAATTAGCGTAGAATTGTATTGCTCTAATTTGAAGGTAAGCATTCAGAACGTCAAAATTAGCGGTAGGAATTTTCGATGTTGCTACGATATTCTATTAATTATTTTAATTGTGATTTTTAGACATTGTGAATGATCGTACACTAAAAAGTATAAAGTTTAATTGAAACCACTAATTGCGAGGTTCTGAATGAAGCTTAATTCTAAAAAGTTTTGGCGCTTCATTCAAATGTAGAGCTTTTTCTACAGCAGCACCATCTTTAGTGTTCCCTGTTTGATGACCACTTTTTAATACATGAAGTTAATTCTCCTTACCTCTATCCTCTACATTATACCACAGCATTCTAACCAATGACCAAAGAATACAAGGACAAAAACACCCGAGACGAAATTTTTACCATGTCTCCAAACAGTCCGTGCCACATATTTTTCTTAACTTAGCTGCTTGAAAAGATATTTATATTTTTGACAAATATTTTGACTACGCCTATGGTGTTATCATACTAATTAATTATAAAAAAACGTCTTAAAATGTTAAAAAAAGTTACAAAACTAGTATCGACGTATAACACATATCAAGTACATAATATAATAGAAAAATAATTATCAAATTCAATAAGAAAACGATAAGAAGGTGGAGTGGACTGTTTATTTACCTATGAAACGTAACTCCTGTCTCTTTCTTATTGATGCGGCTTTTACACTTGAAAGCTGAACAAATCATCACTGTAATAAAGTTTATACAAAGTTCACTACACACAACCCACAACAACCTATTAAAAATCGCCAAAAATTGTTGTTGGTGACACATTCGCTGTCTCCAAAAAAATTACCATAGATCAAAAAACATAGGCATACGAAAACATAGAGGCATTATGGAATTATTAATTGGTTAAATGCACCAAAAACTTTTAATGAATACGTAGTGAGTTCCAATATCAATCCCCTCTTCGTTTTTCTCAATTTTGCTCTTGTTCTGTTAATTCCACGCCATTGGTCTGATGCGCACTCTAGTTCTTATTTCTTAGTATGGTTTCCAGTGTACCAGTACAGAGTGTCAATTTTTCAACACTTTGGCATGTTTAGTGGTGTAGGGAAACCGCAACCTTCTATCTTTAAAAATAAGCGATATATTATGGAAACGTGTTGAAGAATGGACACCCTGTCCATTTGTTCCGTCGAACGTCGCTATATAAACTGTCGTGGGGTAAAAAGGATGCAGGCGACAAATATTTAACCAATTCCAGCTGATTCCTATGTAAAATGACGCCCTAAATCCAAATATAGCTTCCGTTTTCTTATACTATTCACTGTTTTTGAGGGAGTCTAATTTTATCATTTTTTTAAATTACTTTTTATTAATAATTTTATATACAATACATATAATTTAATTTGAAGGGACGAAAAGAATTATTTTAGCTATAAAATATAAATAATAAATAAAAAGATCTCTACCTTTATTTGGTGCCTTGCTTGAACTCTCATAACTCTCTCTTACTAAAAACTAGCAATACTCGGACAATATGCTTCCATTCCACTTCTCTGAAAATATATTCTCCAGCTTAACAATGGCTTGATGGAACTGTTCCTCGTGTTCTTCCAAGACTGCTCTTACATTTTCAAAGAAGTCCAGGTGCTAGTGAAGGAAATGCTCGAACCCCCACTCCTCCTACAAACCTTTTAAAACCAACAAACTTCCTCGACCTACAAACAAAATCATATTTGGATTCGGGAGGTAATTTTATATAAGAAACGACAAGAATTGTTGCCGATTTTCATGCAGTCCTGTGTAATTTGACGTATGAGCAGTGATCAAGGCGATAAAAGAGTTAATATGGATGACAGCACGCGTGGAATTGACACTTAAATTCAGCCTATAGCGATTGAGAATTTTATTTAGAGAGTAATAGATAGATTTAAGTTTTTAACACCAGTTAAGAAATTTTCCGCAGTATTTATTTATTAATTTCAAGTGTATGATGAATCGTTTTTGGAATAAGTGGAATTAACGAAAGATTGATAAATAAAAATTTCTTTCTTTTTTTTTCTCTCAAAAAGAGCCAAATCATACTATAATATGGTTGAAAATAAAAATTTGCCCCAAAAATGTACAAATTTATTAAAAGGTTCTTATTCTCCCGTTCAAAATGCCAGCGATTGACAATATGATCGAAAAAAACAGGTATGGCTTGGAAATGAAGATCGCTGTCATTTTATATATAAAATTATACTTATGGGGAATGTTATTGGTCGTCCTTTCCAAGCCAACTGGACGCCGTTTTTTTTCGATCATACGATATTTGTAAGTTATTTTAAGTAATTTATTTCAAACAATGGAGAGAGGGGGCGTTACTATGAAGTTTCTGCACCGGTTCAAAAAAATTGTAGATCCGGGGCTCTGTTCACATGTGTATACGCACTTATTGAGGAACAGCCACTTATTTTATTCGAATTCACATGAATTAATTTAATGCCTCTGCTCCGGTAATTTTTCATCGGATTTTAAATTACCAGATAATATTTCTAGATTAACGAAGAAGAACGTCGAAAAAGCCAGGACTCCATGGACGGGTTTTTCCTCCCTTCCCCCGATGCCCCCAGTCCTGTCGGAGAGGACGACGACGAAGACGGTCTGGATATTACCATCACCTTTCCGGAATTCCGGCAAAACATCACCCACGAAGCGGATTCGCACGTCACCGTTTGCTTTTCGGACATTTCGGCCGAAGCACTGGGCCGGTTGAAACGGTGCCCGAAAGACTTTACGCTGCACATGGATTTTGCACAACGGAAAATGACGTTTCAGACCGGGAATTTGCCGACTAATAACTTTTCTATAGGTAAAAGGCAGATCTTTTTTCTGTATATTACGTATACAGTATGTCAACATTGTCAACGTATTGGGTTTACAAGAGGAAAAACTTTTTTATTATTGACATTTTGAGAAAAATACATTCTTCATAAAAAAAAATTTCATGTTCTATAATGGTTAATCCGGTTTATAATTTTCCAAATGTCCATAGCGTTTTAGAGAAAATAAAAAAAAAACATGAAAGTATATTTTAATTTTTTCCCAAGTCCTAAAAATCAAAACGCGTTTCTATGGCAGTCTATGGTAATGTAATTTTGTTTTCATTCTTTGATAGATTTTTATTTATAGAATATTAATTAACATAATATTTTTGTGCTGTTTTAAAATGTTAAAGAAGCACAAAATTTATTTATCTTAAATTTATTTCATCTATCATAGATAAAAGAAATTTATTGAATCAAAGCTATTCTTACAACGGTCGCTCTCCAAAGCTTTTAATAATTTTGGAGCGGTTCGGATTTTTCCATAATTATGTCGCTAAATATTATTTATTCAAATTTATTATTTTCTTTTAATTTTTTAAATAAAATACAGTGTGTTGCATATAAGAAACTTTATTTTATATAAGGACATGTATGAAACCTATGAAACACTGGAAACTAACGTTATGCCACGATCCACGATGGTTTTTGTAATTCACAGTTCACACAGTTTTTTAACTTTTTAATGCCACTTTTTCACAATTATCACGGGTTTGAGTAAGTAAAATTCAAATTAAACTCACAAGGTAGCAATAATTACTTTGAAAATGAACGCTTTAAATACTTTCGGTATTTTTTCAATGAGGGCAGTTTAAATTTTGAAAGAATTAATAATTTTTGAAGATTTTGACTTTGACAAGAGAGAATTATTTATGTTCTTGTTTACGGTTGTTCTTAGCAACCGCCAGAAAAGCCACCGCTATATAGCAGAGATTCCGTACAACGTGTATGCACCCCAAAACAATTATAAGTTTTGACGGCAAGCTGAGCATTCCAATCTAAACTTGTTTCTTTTATCTATGCCATCTATTAAAGAATGAAATCTAAATTATATTACCATAGAAACAAAACAAATTATATTACCATGGAAACAAATTTTCAAACAAACCAATCAAAATTCAACCATATTTTCATGTTTTCTTTTAATTTTCTCTAAAACTGTATGGAAATTTAGAAAACGGGATTAACAACTTTAGAACTGGCAAATTTTTAATCAAAATATCAGTAATAAAAAGTTTTTCCTCTTGTAAAGACAATCCGGGGATATACTGTAGTTTTTCAAATTCACTGGACGTTGAATGATGAAAATGCGGTAATATGTATCATGCAATTGAAAAAAAAATGTCAGAGATGGCTTGGAAATGACGGTGGCTGTGGTTTTTTATGTAAATTAATTATATGGGGAATGTCATCGATCGTCATTTCCAAAAGCTAACTGGACACCGTTTTACGACGAGTGGACATCTAAAAATGTTCTATGGAGATTGGAGAATATATAGAGGTAAGGAGAATCATCTCGTATGGGACTTTGTTTGAACAAGTGGCCACCTAAAAGGGAAAAATAAAGGTTCCTTGAATACCCAAAGGAGGCAATGGAGAAAGAGAGATGTATCCTCTATTATAGATTCGGGACAATACCGGTATCAGGTCTAAGGAGAGACCAAGTTAAAGAGGTGGAGAAAATGGTGACAGATCCTCCAGCCTCTCCCTCACGGTTACCTCAGCCGGAGACAAGTTCCTTGATTGTGAAAGGTACGGAGGGCCAAACCCCCACCGTAGGAGATAGATGTCCATTCCTCGGAGGGTGAACATGTGTTGTCAGAAGAGAATGGGAAATACCCCTACAACAGGAAAATCGCCATATATGATGAGGTATAGACTTTGTATGATGAGTTATAATTCAAGAAAGTGGGACACAATAGATATTTAAGGTCGCGGTGATTAATCCCTCTCTCACTCATACAACATTATACAAATGACCACAGTGCAATGCCGGGTCGGACTGGGCCAGAGAAGCCCGGGTGGAATTGTGAGAAAGGGCCCGGGTGGATTTTTTTGCATATTTGTTTGCCTTACTTGTTGGTCAATTTTTCCCTATTGATTTGATGTTAGTGTTTGAAATCAGGGAACTATACCCGTCATGCAATGCAAATGTATGTAGGTAGATATTGTTAACCCAAAAAATGGTTTTGGGGATAACCTCAGAATATTACCGTCATTTTTTTTGTGTTTTATTTCTACACTGAAAAAAAAAACTACAACTTTGTACTTAGGTTTTTGTAAGCCTAATAGTATGACACACACAATTTGTAATAATGATTTTCATTTAAATTTCAACGAGTACAATCTGAAGATTCTCTAACACAAATTGGGAGAATTACCACCACACTTATTCGCTATTTTAATATAAAATCAAGCATATTTAACAATTTTGGAGATCTGGTGATCTGGTTAAGAGAGGGGAGGGGAGCGCAAAGGCTGGAGCCCGTCTAGCAATCGACACCATGACTATATGGTCAGTAGGACCCTAGTGCAATAACCAATAAGCAATAATGAATCGAACTGAACATGGCAGATATAAATAAAATAAAGTTAGTAAACAGTTTGCTATAGCAGCGCCATCTTAGTTGTTCCCTGTTTGTTGATAACTACTTTTTATTTCACAAGATAATTCTTTTTGCCTCTACCTCTCGTCTCTACCCGTCATATGAAGAGTATTCGGATGTATAAGAAGTCTAGTTAAATACCTTAATGCGCGCCACTTTCTGTAATGGAAATGAAAACTTTATGTATGTTTCCTGTTCTAATTCGAATAGGAGCCGATTTGAAAGTGACTGAAATCCCGGTCGATACCAAGAAATCGGACATAATCAGCATCAAACCGTCGACGGAATGCACCTACGCCTCGCAAGTCATCCCCGTCGTCGAAGGGCCGAGAAGAAGTTCGGTCAAAACCCTAAAATCCACCGATTCCGAGCTGTTCGACGTGGTCAGTTTGCCGTTCCTCAATCGCAAATCCTCCGTCACGACCAGGTCATGCATAACGTTCAAAAACAGCGCCGCAACCCATCCCAGTTCCTGTCTGTTGCTGGACCGGTTGCGCTACAGGAGCATGCCGCAAATTCCGAGTCTGCCCAACATTTTCGAGGAGCCAGGCTTGGAAGGGACGTCTGCAAGTAAATCAGGTGTGATTTAACTTATCTAGGTTCGATGTAAGCAATCTAAGACATATTCATTATAAAATACTTTATTCTACTAGTGTCGAATGAAGAAATAAGAAGATGCACAACCTTATGGGCGATTTTGTGGCACAAAACATGTCCGAGATGTAGCTGGCGTTACCGTCAGCATGTCCGAGATTTAGTTTAGCTTTGCGCGCTGATCATCAGTTATTTACATACCGTAGTTCTGCTTTCAGTCGACAGAGTGGGTGGTTGCCGGAGACAGTGTTGCCAGAACTACGCATTAATCCTTACAGTTACGGATTTTAGGAAGAGTACGTTATAGAATAATACGGATTTTCTATAATTAAACAATTTAATATAATGTGATTAAAAGAAGGGTGTCAGAGTTATCTTGAAGATGAATATTGGTGTTCTTTCATATCTAAAATATTATGGTAAATGTCAATAATCGTCATTTCCAAGCCAACTAAACGGCTTTTTTCGATCATACGCAATATTCAGTACGTATAAACGATTGTTTATGTTTGTTGTTTATTCTATGTTTAACACGAATAAATATTCAATGCATAAATCCGCGGATTTCTCATCCAAAGATATTATCGTCAAACGTATTACAGATATTACCACATTTTAATATGGCAACACTGTCGCTTTCAGATCGACACCGTCTTCGATATTCCTTCGCTGGCCGAATTACAGAAAATGAGTGTTATATGCGTTGGCTGCAGAACGATTAGAGGCTCCACCGTAGAGCACTTGAGATATAAGGGGAAATCAAATCAGCCTTGTTACGAATTTGTCCATTAGGTTGCGTATCTTTTCAATTCTTTCAATCAACGCTACTAGTAGATATTAGTGGTCGCTAGTGACCGCAACAAACTGAAAGTTTTTTAAAAAAAAATAATAAAATTTTAAAAAAATTAAATTTTATTTGACAATAAAGATGCGTTTTCACGAGTCAAGTGATCAGGTCATAGGGATACAGCAGATTCAACTGCATATTCCGAGTTTACACATTTTGTCAAAAAGCTTCAGCTGGTCAGTGGCGTAACTAGAAATTTTCGGCTCCCCCGCACTTTCGGTCATTGGAGCCCTGGATCTATTAAAATTAATTTTTTAATGGGACCTATAAAAATTAAGATACCCGACCTTTCCAGTGGAGGTAGGGTTTCCAGACGTCCGGATGTACCCGTTGTCGTTAGTTTAATATTGGTGCAGTTTGGTTTGAGCAAACCAGTTTGTGCAAATTAAAAATTAACTGAGAGTATAAACGGCCCTTAAGGAAGGTCTAAGCGATATTCAATTATTTTTTTTTATAATGAAAGATGTTTGATAATCTTTGTCAATGTCCACATTCGATGAATTATACGGGTTGAGTCTTAAATAAGTGCAAATATTTTAAAAGGTAGTATATTTCGACTCCAGAAACACGGTTATGAGGTTTTATCGCGAAAAAAAAAATTGAAAATTTGGATTTTTTTTTTAATTTTTAGTTAAAAAACATAATTTCTTGATAATAAGGCTACATAGGTAGTAAATTAAATTTACGAGAAAGAAAACCCAGAAAAGATTCAGTGGTTCTCAAAATTTAAACAAAAAATCATTTTTTTTAGAAATTTTGAAATTAAAATAACTCGGTTATATTTTGGACATTTGAAAAACGGTAAAGAGAAAATAATATGTTTCTTTTATCGAGATCTACTAGCCCTGAAAATATTTGCACTTAAGACTCACCCCGTATAAATAAAACAAAATTACTTTTCTGCAAAAATTGAATCGATGAGTCATGTACAATTTTTCCAAAAATCATTCTTTCTTAGTTTTTGAATGTTTTTTTCGTTTTACTGTCAAAGTCTAGAGTCTAGAGGATCAGTCAGAACACAGTGAGTATTGAATAAGTCCAAATTTTTACAGGGCTACTAAATCTCTATAAAAGAAACATATTTTTTCTTTATCGTTTTTCAAATAAGTTTAAGTTATAAAGTCCAGTTTTAAAGAAAAAATATTGTTTACTCAAATTTTGAGAACCACTGGATTTTTTCTAAAGATTATGTTTTTTTTGTAAATTTAATCTACTACCTACAGTATGACCCCGGATTAATACAAATATTTACAAAATGAAAAACATTTTTATTACTGACATTTTGAGAAAAATGCGTTCTTCATAAACAGTTTTACTTGTTCTAAAATGGTTAATCTAATTTATATTTTTCCAAATTTCCATACCGTTTTAGAGAAATTAAAAAAAAAACATAAAACTATGGTTTAATTTTTAAAAATTGATTGAAGTCCTTAAAATCAAAAGGTTTTTCTCTGGTAATATTACCACTATATTCAAAGTATACAGGGTTGTTCACCACATACGACACGGAGTATTGTAGCTAAACGATGAGATTTTTACAAATTGTAAGTTTTGGGTTCGTTGAAGGACTATTAGAGCTACAATTTAAAAATATTTTTACAAGATACAGAGTGTCCCAAATAAGTAAAAAATATCAAAGTTGTATTTTTTTAAATGGATATTCTGATTACATTTATTATACTTAACCTGTTTTTGAGTTTTTCACTTTAGTTGCAGCTTTATCTAATACTTAAATATTTACTGAAGTTTATTTATCAGTTATTGTGTTGCAATGGCTGTCAATACTACCTTATACAGAGTGCTCCGTGGGTTTATAATGAATATTAGCTTCAAACGGCAATAAGTTAATTCTAATGGAACACCCTGTATTTTATATCAGATGCATCACTTACCTGTTCATCGTATATGCTTACCTATTCTTTGTCGTAGAAAATGCATTTTTAATTTAGAACTTAGCTTTTATCAATATACCCATGGGATCATTGACATTTTAGATTATTTTAAAGATGTACCAAATTTTTAAAGAGACAGATACTAATATTGTCGATATAATTCGTTTATTTCATTAAAAAATAAAAAAAAACTGTTTAAATATTTGTTAAAGAGGACCAATTAATATGATTCCAGTATTCAAACTACATTAACTGACTGTTTGCGTTGATTAATAATAATTGCTCCAAATACTAAAAAACTGAATTTTGCATGGGCATTAGACAGTGTGATAAAAAGTAACATCTTAAAAATGATATTTCATTTTTTAATAAATGCTTATTTATAACAACAAAGGCTTTAATTTGATAACTTATTATTATATTGATTTCTGACTCAAAAATCCACATTTATTTATAATAATTTATTAGCGAACACAATTAAGTATGTCATTAATTAGTATATGGGCGGAAATAATGGTGTTATATTTAATTAATGGTATACCCTTTTATAAAGATTTAAATAGTTTTCTTTTTGCATACAAATGGGCTAGTAATATTATCGTTTTGCTAAAAACGATAATATTACTAGTCTGTACATTTTGTACATTTGTTGCTTTAAAAACAATCTAAAATGTCAATATTCCATAGATATATTGATAAATGAGGTCTAATTTAGAAGAAAATGCATTTTCTACGAAAACTTGAAGGGATAGGTAAAAAATGGTATAATACAATTTGATAGACAATTTAATTGTGCATCTGATTCTCCTAAAATATATAGGGCATTCCATTTAAATTAAAGAAGTTATTGCCGTTTGAAGCTAATAATTATTTAAAATAAATTTTTAGACACTGTGTATAAGGTACTATTATTTTTATTATTGCAACACAATAACTGATCAATAAATAAACTTCATTAAATATTTAGTATTAAAAACATTGATACCCTTGGAGAAATGAAGCTTTAAAATTTTGACTACAATTTCACAAAATTGAAAATATTTCAAAAACGGTAAAGTTTAAGTATAATAAACCTTAATCAAATTTACCTTTATTTTAATCGTAGAAACTAAAAATGTAATAATATACAGGGTGTTCCATTTAAAAAAATACAACTTTAATATTTTTTATTTATTTGGGACACTCTGTATCTTTTAAAAATATTTTTAAATTGTAGCTCTAATAGTCCTTCAACGAACCCCAAACTTACAATTTGTAAAAATTCATCGTTTAGCTAATATTGTCAATTATTGAAATCATTTTTTCATAGGTGGTTATTATTAATTTTGATTAACGTCATATTTTTACTGTTAAAGCATCACATTTTCCCATAACTATTACCACCCTTTCAGTAGCATTGAATTAAATAAATGTTGTGCTTCTTTAACATTTTACAGCAAAAAATATGACGTTAATTAAGTGAATTCTAACAAAATAACAATCTATCAAAGAATGAAAACGAAATTATATCACCATAGAAACGCCATTTCTGGGACCCTGCTGGGACCTAAGAGTTTAACTATATTTTCATGTTTTTTTATTTTTTTCTAAAACGGTATGGAAATTTGAAAAAAGTATAAACGCGATGAAGCATTTTAGAACAAGCAAATTTTTTTATGGAGAATGCATTTTTCTCAAAATGTCAATAATAAAAAAGGTTTTTCTTTTGAAAAGACAATCCGGAGACATACTGTATGTTGCCATAGTTTAAAAAAAACATTAAAACAAGTTTTCGCGAGAAAGCCTCATAGACGTGTTTCTGGGGTCGAAATACACCACCCCTAAATATATTGGCACTTATTTGACACTCACCCTGTATATTTGTTCTATAAACTTTGAATCTATGCATGTACTTAAAAAATAAAACAAATCATTAACATTAATATACGATCAAATGGAAAGCTGCAGGCAACAAAATAGAGCAATGATCGATTTAAAATGCAATTTTATGGCGTATTTAATTTTTTATTTATTTATGATTCGTACGGTTATACCCTGTTTTACCTGCCTTCTTATTATTTACATTATTAACTCGGTAAGGTTCCTGATAACATCAATAAATCTTTTTAATTTTTAAAAAACTCCATAAATATACGTTACGGCCCACTATTACTAGAGTTTATGGTTTTTTCATATTTATTTTATTATTAATTTATTACATTTCTTTTCAGCGTTAGCCACTCAGACAGGAAACTGCGAAATAAACATTTACAAAGAAAGAGAACAAGCACAAGCTTGGATAAAATTCATGACGTTCCATAGAGTTAAATTATAAAATATAAAATTTCTACTTATACAAATTTATAATTATTTTAGTTTATATTGATTTAATAAAAATATTCTTTAAACTGTAGTTTTTCATGAGCAGTTTTCTACTAAGTTAAATTGGTTAATAGACACTCCGTTCGATAGATGGAGACTGTAACATTAAAATTTGTTTGTTGATAGCTTTGTTGCCAGTTCTATTTGACATTAATTAGAGGCATCATTTTCTATTAAATCCTATTTTTTACTAAATATAGATTAAATTATTTGGGTTTATTTAAATTTTTGTAACGCGTTGGGCATGTTATTCCAATAATCGATGTAAAGATAAATTTTGTTCCCAAACAAGGTTCTAAAATTTGACAGTTCTTACAACAGTGCATTTAATATTTAATGAAATCAAAATGTTTTTGGCCTTCGCCGATGAGTCAGAAATCAAAGAAATAAACTAATTTAATTGTATCTAATTAGTGTTAATTAGTGAAAATTGACTGTTCGTATCGTGGTGCCTATGTTGGGAAACTATTCAGTTAAATACGGTATAGCAGTTCTTAGCCAAATACATGCTAAAATCGATGTGCAGTGAATCTTCCTTAGCTGTATAATTAACTGATCCTTGTTAGATTGCAATATCAAAATCATTAAATAAAAAAAAAACAAACAATAGAAAACAGAAGCGTACTATACAATGAAACCGCCGGAGTTTAATATTGTTGGACCTTAATCATGTATTTTGTGGATACAATGTGTAGAAGTTCAGTAAGGAATTAATCAGGAAAAATGAGTAGAGGTTACTACGAGAACACAGATACTCCTTTCTTATATACGGTAAGTTTCTAATTATTTCTTTACAGATCTAGTGATACCTGATTTACTTTAAAGCAGTCTTATCACCTTTAATTCTATAAAGATTTGTATATCTATGATTGTTGACATTCTAGGCCTGAGGCCTGAGGTATTGCGTGCGTGAGTGCATGTATGTAAATGTTTCAGTCAACATTTGGACTTGAGTGAGTGACATTGAGCTTGAATAGTTTGTCTACATAATGTAAATTTTAAATTTGTTTATATACGTATAGTTCAATGACATGTTGTTTACATAATGTGTTAGCTTCTCGAATATCTATCTATATGTATAGTTGATTTTAATTAGATTTATATTCACTGGAAAGCTTTTCACACAATATTACACATCTTTGATGCAGTGAATGCAGAATTAATGAGAGCTAAAATTAAAAGAACATGTGATATATTGGTAGAATATTTTCATCAATGGGTTTATCTATGAATACATCTAAAACGTAGTGTGTAGCTTTTTGGTAACAGAGCAGATAATGCGTTTACACTTCACAGTAAAATGATGAAATTATTGGCACCTAAGAACGTTTCTGCTTGGTGTTGTCACGCAGATTGGATTGAAACGCACGTTGATGTGTTGCAAAGGGGTATCAAGACACGGCTTGCTTTGAGGATTGTCTCAGAGAATGTGGGTGAAGAAGCCGCATTGACAGCTTATTATGCTTTTTGTGCAATCTAAAATGAGATATGGCTTGGTAATTTGGGGAAATTGTACTGATATAGGTAGAATCTTTCTGCTACAAAAAAGATGTATTTGTAATATATTTAGAATGAGCCGTTTAGAAAGTTGCAAGAGTGTTTTTGTAGAGAAGGGTATATTGACGCTGACAGGCATGTATGTTTACGATGCCTATATGTTTGTGATCGGTAATAGAGATCTTTTTGCAGGCTTTGTTAGTGATCACAGGTATGCTACCAGAAATAGATATAATCTTGTACCTGGGAAATGCAATTTTACTTATACACAAAAGAATGCTGTGTATTCGATTATAAAAATATTTAATAGTTTCCCCGAAGAGTTGCAGGCCATGTCTCATGGAAAGATAAGAACTGTACTAAAAGATTATTTAATCAAAGAGGCATACTATAGTTTGGCCGGTTTTTTTTCCGATTCGCATATCTTACTTTTTAGTGAGCACGTTTATTGTTTGTAGTAATTGTAATGTAGTGGGACTTTTGAGTTAGTTGCTACTACTGTAGTATAGTATATACTATATATATAGTACGGTTAGAAAGACTATTATTTAAACTGAACAATGATTTTCGAAACATACATTTTATATTTTTTTGTTGTCGAGTGTTATTCTAGTTTTTTTCCTTATTTTAGTGTATTTATGTGTGTTTTATATTAAGTCTTAAGTTTTGTTTTTTTGCTATTTTTACAATGTTCCATGCCTGCGGGCTCTTGTAACTTCTGTTAATCGGAACAAATAAATGAATATCTATCTATCTATCTATCTATTATCAGTAAGTATATGAGACAGAGAGAGAGAGAGAGAGAGAGAGTTTTTTTTACTAAATGTGGTTCTCGATGTGGTTATTAATTATAGTCCGTGACAGTCCAGTAACAATGTCATAATTTTTTTTATTGAATAAACATACTTATTACTCGAACCTTGTAATGAACATTATATGTAGAGATGCTGAAACATTATATGACTGTAAAGCCGCGTATAAATATGCCGAGGCAAGTACGAGACAAACCCGAAACGAGTATGAAACGAGGCTATAGCAAATTCTTTCCAAAAGGCGTACTAATATGCCGAGACGAGGACGAGACGAGTCAACCTCAAGCGGAATTCGTCATATTATAGCCTCGAGCCGAGCGATTTAGCCTCTGAGTCCCTGCTCCAGTCGAACGGCGTTGTCTCGCTATCCATTTTCAAGTGGGTTTCCTTTGGCGAATCCCACAAAATTCTCTCATAGGCTGTGCGGATACTGAGGCAGTATCGATATTTTGGTATCGGTTGTATTGAATATAAAGTATCGATACTTTAAAATATTGATAAATATATTAAAGTATTATTCGATACCATTCAATATTTTAAAAAATTAATTAATAAATTTAAGTATAATGTGTTTTTTAATTGGATTAGGATCGAAAAAAATCAACAGAAGTCCTTTGTTTTAAATTTGTCGACGTTTCGCAAAATTTATTTGCATCTTCAGGACACTACAAAGTTAAGAGAGCAAAATACAATCAAAAAATTTTAAAAATTTAACAAACAACTTAAAACACATATCAGTGGAATTCCACACATACACAATTGGTAAAACTACCCTAATGTTAACAATTAAATAAAATATATGTATATGTTATAAACTTAAGATCGCTTGTAAATAAAAATAATAAGGGATAGGGCCAGAATATAATCAGGATATTTTCTTATTCGCATTTAACGAAAAAAATCGACGATGGTGGCACTGTTTTATACAAAAAACTACCAGGATCAGAACTAAATCAGTCATCAAACGATCTCAAATTACTAAAAGCACTTGGAAGAAAATGATAAAACACTTAACCTAGGGTTGGCAACTTTGAAAATAAAAAATAGGGGCGAGAGGATAAAAAGAGGCACAGGCGAAACATTTTTGAAACGTCGCTCAAATGTCGAGAATTTACCAAAAAGTTATATAAACGGTATGCGATAAATATTTAAAACAAACAAAAATATTTATACTCAAAACTTAAAATAAAGCAAACCATTGTCAACAAAACTTTTTTTCAAGACATAAACTAACAGTAAGTAAACATAAAATTACATAAAAGACACAGATTAACAATTCTTTAAAGCATTGTGGCGATAAACGAATATTTTTTAGATTTTAAAGTTGGTATGCAACAAAGTTTTCAATACGTGAGAGAAAAGAGGACAATCAGATCAAAAGAGGACTGTTTCTGGAATGGAGGACGGTTGCGAACTCTATTTTAACCCCCTGTAGCTACGAATCAAAGCAGAATTGGATTGGTTGATATAAAAAATAAATCTTATTTTTACGTGAGGAACTTCCCCACGAGAGATGGAACATGTTTTTAGAAACACCCTGTATATGTTTGTTTAATTTCAAAATAGGTAAAAAAACAAGCTAGATAAATTAAAGGAATTCATGATAAATTTAAATTATATTGGGACTGTTTACATAAAAAAAAACTGGAGAACGCCGACTGAGCTACCTGGAGATAACGGCACGGCAGCGGCGGCGGCGGAGCCTTCTGCCATTGCCATTTTTTTGAGTCTTTAATTATTTTATTCAATAATATATTTTGTATGTGGTTTGTATATCTATAAAAAAATTTCTATAGTTTGTATATCTATAAATTTCTATAAACAGCGCTTTCAGATGGAGCGCTGGTACGCGCGGGATGGTACGCGCAGAGCGTCCGCACGGATGTTTTTACAAGATAGCCCATCCGGACGGAGCATACGCGACCCCGGTGAAATTGTTCATATAAGCTCCTGGTACTTGCTCGAAGTCGCGGACGGTCCGTCGCGGACGTTCCGTTCCATTTGAAAGCGCTGTAAGATAAGACCTAATTCGACTTTATTTATTTAAAAAATTAGAAATTTAGGTAATTAAGATTTAAATTATTAATTTAAAAAAATCTACATTTAAATGCCAATAACTAACCTGGAACATATATTGTAAATAATATATCTGCATTTCTTCATTTCTAAAGTAGCAGCACGCTTATTAATAATTTTTAAAATATTATTATGTATATAATTTTAAATCTAATTCCCAGTTTTTTAAACCTTCGCCGTAATGTGCTTTCTGAACAGGGTTTTTTTAAAGCTCGGAGAGTTTTTTTTAATTATTTCTATGGCGGGAACTTTATTATTTTCATATTTGCCATAAATTAAGTTTCTTAGTAGTCTGGATAGTTCAAATTTCTGGATTTTTCTATATCGAATCGTTCCTTTCTTTGTCGATTCCCTTTATTTATGAGAGTACCGTAAGAAACTTCTGAGAGCATGGCCACCTTTTTCAACAGACTCGATTTGCCTCTCTTATCTTCGATGTATCCTATATGTAAAGAAGCTTGTTTTACATCTTTAATTCCGTTCAGCAGAAATAGCGCATAATTTACGTTTGAGCCGTTAATAACTCGACGAAAAGTTCATTACGTTTATTCATTTTTCATAAAATTTTCATGTTTTTATAAAGGAAATCAC